CCGATGTAGGATTCTTTTACCTTCACATCCTCATATGCCCCATCACATGTAACGAATTTTCAAGCCAAACACGTTGACAACATGAATTGGGTGATGTGGAGCATGTGTGGCTGTTGGACTTAACAAGTGGACAAACTTGCTTTAATATCATGAAGTAAGTTTGGGTTTCACCGTAAGGCCAATAGACAATATGAGAGTAGCTCAACCTCTTATGAACCATTGCAAGGTTTCTCCTCTTACCAATGTAGGACTCTTTTATTTTCACATACTCACAAGTTCCCTCACCTGTGGTGAATTTTCAAGTCAAACACATAAACAACACGAATTTGGTGACATGGAGCACATATGGTGAGAAAGTTGGGATTCCACTATAAAACTAATTGGCAATATGGGGAATTGTCCAACCTCCTATAAGCCCTTGCACGGTTTCTTCTTTCACCGATGTGAGACTCTTTTACCTTCACATTTCATAATTTATGTATTCATCATTTCTCCTTACACACCTATGTGTATTTATGGCTTTTAGAATGATTAATCAATAGAAAATAAAGATATAAATAAACATGAGTACAAAAAAAGAAAGAAAATGAGTGCATAAGTCATTTCCTATATGTAAAATGGCATGATATTTTTTTTGAACAATCGATATTATCTACACTAAATGGTTGGGGTGGGATAAGCCTCACAATGAGTTAGCAATAATGTGGTCCAAATTCACCAATGGCGAGAATCAAACCTAATACCTCTCATTTACAACTGAAGATGAATACTACTAGATCGTAGTACTAAGCAGTAATAGCATGATGTTAATCCATTTCTCGAAATCACTCAAAATTAGTAATAATTATAATTACATGACAATCAATATATGTCATTGATCAGGCAGAAAATATATGATCCCTTACCAAACGTGGACGTGAATTGCTTCTTGAATTATTTTGGAAGAAAAAGGCAATCAACCCAATTTTGTCGTGAAGAAAAAGAGTGCAGTTCTTTTGTTTGGGATAGTAAATGCCGCTATGTAGGGAAAGCAAGAACATCCCCTTGGTGGTTGGCACTCTCACTCCTCCATCTATCATCTATCTTGTATGACCATTTTGCAATCATCACCTACCCTCCCAAGAAACCAAAAACAACTTGGAACTTCCTAATCTAAAATTAACTTTCTCAATGCATGTTTCTACCATTCTTTCTCGTGTTATTTGAAACGAGGAAGATAAAATTAAAATAAGTGGATCCAATTAACTCCCTTTTAATTTCACCAGAATAAAAAATGTTGTTGAAAAAGTTCAATTAAAGATAATTCGAAAACTTGGATGTGGATAAATTGGCTAGAGGATATGTGCTCTTCTATGCATCCAGTTTGAATTCTTGTTTCCTCAATTTTTGGTTCAAGTGATGTTCTACTTTAAACTAATATAAATTGCAGGGGCAAGTGACCCTTTACTACAGTGGTGGAAAGGTATTGTGCCCTTACATGACGGCGTGGTTCAAACCTTGTTGGTGGCTAATCTAACATCTAACTTACTAAAACTATCGCTCGACTCAAAAAATTAAAATATATATATAAACTGTAGAGAGATGGCTAGTTTGGTATTGCTATGCTTTGAAAAAAAAAATTGCTTCTGTTGTGCTACGAGAATAAGCTCATTTTTACTGCTTCACGTTTTCAGCTTTTTTCACCCAAAATTGTGAAAATAAGCTGTTTTTAAGTGTTTACCAAACACCTTTTTGAGCTCAACTTTTTTTTATACCCAATTTTTTTTTTATTTTTTATAAAAACATTTCAGTGCCAAACCAGTACTCAAACTCGAATGACATAAACAGGAGCACGTATGTTCTAATCAACTTGACTATGCCTACCTTTTGCATGTGTTAGCAAATATTTAATTTCAATACATATGACATGATTTTGTAGCATGTCATGGAGATGCTATGTATCATTATTGGAGAAATAATTGGGTGGCTTTTACAAATATGAGAGACGTGGTTGGTGAAGCCCATTCTGATGGGGGACCGTTTAAATTCTCTATTTAAGGATGTACATTACGCAAACCCTCCACAAAGTAAGTTTTAGAGAGATCAGTCGCTTAATTTGTTACGAAATTTCTCTACACTATTCTTGCTAGCTTTCACATAAACCCATTAATTATTTGTTTTCCCATGGCATTGATCCCTCCAAGTATTCCAAGCCTTACTACTTTTAGCAGCCTCCAAGTCAAATTGGCAGCAAGCCAAGTGAAGGGTGAACATGTTCCAACTGACATACCAAGACACCAACTCACGACTCTCATCAGATCCATCATCAACAAACAAGACGAACCACAACCCTTTTACGTTCTCGATTTGGGAGTTCTTGTCAGCCTTATGCAAAAATGGAACCATTGCCTTCCCAACGTTCAGCCCTTCTTTGCTGTCAAGTGTAACCCTGAGCCTGCATTCATTGCAGCATTGGCAACGCTCGGTGCGAGCTTTGACTGCGCTAGCAAGGTGGAGATCGAGGCCATCCTTTCTCATGGTGTAAGCCCCTCAAGGATAGTCTACGCCAATCCATGCAAGGGTGAGAACCATTTAAGGCACGCAGCTGGAGTCGGGGTCAATCTTGCAACCTTCGACTCCATAGACGAACTTAACAAGATAAAAAGATGCCATCCCAAATGTTCCTTGTTGCTCCGAATTGCAGTCCCAAATGACACGAGCTCCTGGCGTTCATTTGGGACCAAATTCGGTGCATTGTCGAAGGAGGTCGCGCCTCTCCTTAGACATGCACACAAACTAGGGTTGAGAGTGGTGGGAGTTTCATTTCACGTGGGTTCGAAAGCTTCGGAATCTCAAGTATACCGTGGAGCAATAGCAGCTGCTAGGGCTGCATTCGACGTGGCAGATGAGCTCAAACTGCCCAAAATGCATGTGCTTGATGTTGGTGGTGGGTTCAAGGCAAACCCGTTATTTGATGAAATAGCCGAAACCCTAAACGACACCATTAAAGAACACTTTGGTGATCATCAATCGGAGTCTGATCTGGTGGTGATGGCTGAGCCAGGAAGGTTCTTTGCCGAAACGGCTTTCACAATGGTTGCAAATGTGATGGGGAAGAGAGTGAGAGGAGAGAAAAGAGAGTATTGGATTACTGATGGGATATATGGGTCGTTTAATCTTCCGGGATTTGATAAATCTTGTTTGACACTTTCACCCCTCCTCCTTCACACTCCTAATCATCATCATCATTCAGTAGCCATATATTCGTCGACGGTGTTCGGACCAACCTGTGATTCGCTGGACACGGTGGTGGCTGACTGGAAACTGCCGGAACTGAAGTTAAATGATTATCTCGTGTTTCATAACATGGGGGCTTACACAAATTCCATTGGAACCAACTTTAATGGCTTCTGCATTTCTGCTATTCCCACGTACTTAACATTTACAAGTGCTAATAATTAATAGGGAATGAAAAACGAAAATAATAATAATAATAATAATAATACGAATGTATGTGATCGATCTTTCCCTTCTTGAGTGCTAATAATTAATAGGGAATGAAAAACGAAAAAAAAAAAAAAATACCAATGTATGTGATCGATCTTTCCCTTCTTGTCTATTGTTATAAATATATATATATATATATATATATATTGGTTTTATGCATGCATTTGGTATGCAATTTTTTTAAAGCTTGGAATCTTTTAAAATTACCCATATAACCATTGAATGATTCTATTTTTGTTTAATAGTTGATGAATAGAAGAGCAAGTTTAGATACAAATAACAATCCTAGCCGAAAGTTGAAAGTATAAAAAAGTTGGAGAGAAATACAGTCATAATGGCACAACTTAAAGAAAATTATTTAAGATAATCCAAATTACATCACTACAAGTTCAATTAGTGGCCTTTAAGTAATAAAAACTCTGAGGAAAAAAAAAAGTGGCACATTTGCTTCCTTGGAAAAGAAACAAATCACAAATTGCAAACCATCCATTTCTTGCAAGAGCCGTTGACGGTGTCCCTTCCATTCCAATCTTCCGTAGCATGCGAGCAACATATTGGCTAATAAAAAGCCATCACGTGTAGGACAAAACACTACACCTAATGAGACTCTAGTTAAATTAGATGTTACATGTATTCATTCGATCAATAAACTTGGATGTCATGTTCATGAGAAAACAAAACACTAATAAAGTAATAAAAACAAATGAGGTAGTTAATAGTCACACCACAATCAGAGTGGATGGTTTGGGACCTTGCCTTGTCTATGTCGAAGGTCAGAGATCAGAAATACGAAGAAGGAAAAGAAAGAAGAGATAACACTAGCTTCTTTTGCTTTATCAATTGATTGCAACATCAGTGTGACGAATCACGCAATGTGGACAAATTATGAAAATACCAGTGAGCAACCAACCGAGGGCAGCAGGCCGCCAAATTATATATAATTCATGCTTTTATTTTGTAATAAAAGATTAAATTGTCTTTTTGTTTTGTTTTTGTTAAAAAAAAATAATACTATGGTGACTATCTATTTAAATCGTATAACGTGGTTGTTGATGATTCAATTGTTAAGTGTTAATTAATATGTTTATTTTCTATCAGTGACACATCACATGATTTGTAAATGTAGTATAAAAAAATTAGTCTACTTAATATTACTCGATAATAAATAGTTTAGATATGGGTGGCGCCAAAAATTACTTGGATTTTCCACGTGATTAGTAAGCAAAACTATTTTGATATATACTTTCCTCAGCTAATAAATAGGTATACGTCAATCCCCCAAGTATCAAACCCTTTCACCACACAAGAGATTTTTCAATGTGCCAAGAACACGGTCTGGTACAACAAGTGTCATAATACAAGTTGTTAAATACTTGATAAATTTTTTGTTCAACCGCTTATATTATGACACTTGATATACCAACTCATGTTCCCGTCACACTGAAGTTTTTTTTCCCACCATACATAATTAGCTATAATATTTATCTGTGTGTACACACACACGCATCTAGCACTCTATAAAGCTCTCATATTCTTTCAACTAAAAGAAGAAAGCAGATAATTAAGAGAGAAAATGGTGGAATCTCCAGAACAACAGCACCCCAAGAAAGCCTTTGGATGGGCTGCCAGAGACTCATCTGGTGTTCTCTCTCCCTTCAAATTCTCCAGAAGGTTTATCTCCATTTTATCGTCTACATGCTCCATCCAATTGGTGTTTCATTAATCTTTTTGTTTTTCTTTCATCCATCTACAATTTGCGTGCTGCACGTAGTTCCTAGGAAATACAATGAAAATCCAAGAAGGAAGAAACTGTATTTGACAACTTGAACTTTGCAAATAGCCCTGCAATTAGATAAATTGTTTTGAATACTTACATTTCCAAATTGTACGGACTTCGGAATATGAACTAATTAGTGCACCTAAAATCGTGTACTTAAATATTTTCGAATTGATATACCTAAGACTAAAATGAAAACTAAATCTAACCCAACTATCTAATTTTCTAACAAAAGTTATTTACTTAATGAATTTAAATCAAAAGTCATTTGAGTTCAGTTGTTCATGTCTTAGTAGTGGGTGCAACTGAAGTTGTTTCTTCTTCTGCATATATAAACAGATCAGAATGCAACCTACTCAATTTATCAAAAATTACTATGACTTTGGTTGCAGGGAAACAGGAAAGAACGACGTCAGGTTCAAAGTACTATACTGTGGAATATGCCATACAGATCTTCACATGATTAAGAATGAATGGGGAAATTCTACCTATCCTCTACTTCCGGGGTACGTATACATACCACTCTACACGAAACTTTGTTATGACAAGTTAACGACTTTAGTTAAATTAACTCTCCATTAATTAATCTGTAATGTAGACAGATCTAGTTACTGTACGTACTACAATGAGTTGTCTATTACATGTGAACACTGCCGAACGTATATGATGAATTGGATTAATCTGCTAACCATTTAACTAGCTTGTCAATGTGAACTTGATTAATTTAATCGGGCAATGCATGCAGGCACGAGATTGTTGGTGTAGTGACTGAGGTAGGCACCAAAGTAGAGAAATTCAAAGTTGGAGACCACGTCGGTGTTGGATATATGGCAGGATCTTGCCAATCTTGTGATAGTTGTTCCACCAATGCTGCGAATTACTGCCCCAAAATGATAGCGACTAGTGGTGACCAGTACCATGATGGAACCCCGACATATGGAGGTTACTCTGATATCATGGTGGCCAATGAGCACTTCGTAGTCCGTATTCCAGACAGCCTACCTCTCGATGGTGCTGCTCCTCTCCTATGTGCTGGGGTTACAACTTACAGCCCCTTGAGGTATTTCGGACTTGATAAACCCGGTATGCATGTGGGTGTGGTTGGCGTCGGTGGCCTAGGTCACGTTGCCTTGAAGTTTGCAAAGGCTATGGGGCTCAAGGTTACAATGATCAGTACCTCCCCGAAGAAGAAAGAGGAAGCTATTGAAAACCTTGGTGCCGATTCCTTTTTGGTCAGCCACGACGAAGGCCAAATGCAGGTGATAATATGAATAATAAGATCCAATAAATTTATGACTTTAATCATATTTGTGAGCACTGTGACATACAGATGTCTTTATTTTGATTGTGTAGGGTGCCGTGGGCACAATGGATGGGATCATTGACACTGTTTCTGCAGTACACCCTCTATTGCCTTTGGTTGGACTATTGAAGTCTAATGGAAAGCTTGTTTTGCTTGGTGTACCAGATAAGCCTCTTGAGCTACCAGTTTTTCCCTTGCTCATGGGTAAGCAGATGAATTCACACCAACTTCTAACCTTAATTGGGTTTAGATAAAAGAAAATTATGATTTTTTTTTTTTAAAACTAAATGCCTTGTGTAACTAAGTGCATCTGGAGAAAGAATGTGTGTTGAAATCAATTTCTTTTACGTTTAACTGATGTGCATTTGCATCAACGAAATAATTAGTATTAATATTCGTTTTTTTTTTTTGTACTTTTAGGGAGAAAGATAATAGCTGGTAGTGTCATTGGAGGAATGAAGGAGACCCAAGAGATGATTGATTTCGCAGCTAAGCACAACATAACAGCAAACATCGAAGTTATATCAATTGATTATGTAAACACCGCTATGAAACGTCTTGTCAAAGCAGACGTTAAATACCGTTTCGTCATTGACATTAGGAACACATTGCACGTCTAGGTCTTACGTTTTGCATCCGAAATGTTCAAGCACTCGAAAAATAAAACCGATCAATCATTTCGCACATTTTTATTGTCTACTATACCTAGGTTTTATGAAAACTGTGCCTTGAAACCAGCAAAATGTGACAAGCCCAATTCTGAATAAACAAATTCTTATATATAAAGCTGGCAGGCTTTTGAATTAGGAATGGTTTTATATTAATATCACTCACACCTTGTCGTGGACCATAACGTTTTACAGGCCAGACCCAAATCCAAGATCAAAGGCCTAGAGAGATTTGTTTAGTTTAATAATTATTTATTTTTTATGGAATCAAAGAGATTATGAAAAATTTCATTATGTCTGTAATCACAAGCAAGTAAACTCACCAACGTGGAGCATTGAATTTGAAACCTCTCACATTTTTTGTTTATTGAGGACCGTAGTTCACATCCTTACCATTGAGTCATTTGCTGTGATTATACTTATAAAAAATTGAGTTACTTTAATATTATCAATTAATTTTATAATGAATTTTCTTCTGAATCTATTCTCCAACAATTCATTTAATTAGACAGGCAGTTTTTCTTGGTGATTAGTATGAATTGTAAGAATCTTATCATTACTCCAGTTAATATTGTATTCTATTTTTAATATATAAAAATATTCAAAATGCAAATAGTTTTTTTTTTTGTTGTCAATAATGTACATACGCATGGTTTGTTTAAAAACAAAAAAAAAATTAAAATCAAATTGTACTAAATTACATGGATGCCATTGCCGACGAAATATTTTCCCAACTTCCCACCGCCACACCAAAGGCATTCCACGCGTTTTGTTCATAGGAGGAAAGCAGAGCTGAGGAGAAAATCTAAAAGCTCAAGTCTCTAGCGGAAAAGAAGTCTTCATTTGCCGACCTTCCCTTCGTATAACTGGGCCCCGCAGGCACCACATTTTCTACGTGTGCTCTGCGTAATCCATGCATATTGCATACTACGACCCAAAGTCTGAGACTTTGTTGACTTTTGACATTCACCGTTCTTTAACCCAGTAACGAAAGCAAAAGCATTCACCGTAGAATTTGGTCAATTCCGACTCAGAATCTGCAAAAACAAGATTCCATCCTAATTTTACATACCCAGAAGTGAGAAGACCATTTGCAGATTTTGGTCCTCTGCTTTTGCTTTTGCCAGAGAAACAAAGGGAAAAGTCAGTTTTGGACTTTTTTTGTGATTCCCACAACCCCACCCCTCCTGCATCCAATTGGCTTAAAAGGGTTCTGGGTTCTCTTCTCATATTAATTTGTCTCTCTTTTGGACTAAAGGGAGATTCTGTTCTTTATTTCAAAGGTTATTATTATTCTTTTGAACTTCGAAAGATTGTTTCCGACATTGATATATAAAAGCAGTGCAGTTTGGCATATCAAAGCAACCTGCAGCTTTCTTGGTCCTCTAATTCTTTAGGTGAGTTGCTCTGTTTCTCAATTTATTGTGCTTTTCTTTCATCTGGGTTCTGTAATTTTCATATACTTTTTGTTCTTTTGATTCATTTGCTGGTATGATCTTCTAACTGCTGAACTTAGTAGAGCATTTCAGTCAGATATTACAATTAAATATTGCACCTTTGACCTTTTTTCTCCTTTGAATTTTACTGTTTGATTCTTGGGTATGTTTATTTCTTCTTGCTCAACAGTTTTTTTCTAATTCCATCGGTTGTGATATCGATACGCAGGTGAAGCCTGTTTGAGTTGATAATTTGATACAAAATGGCCATAAAGACAATTGGTCTTATTAAAGGTCGTCTTCCGGAGGAGTTAAAGAAGGTGCTTTTGTCTGTAGCTTCTGAATGGGGGGATGTAGTGGATGATATGAATGGCTTGCAGGTTATCCCATTGAAGGGGGCCATGACTAATGAGGTCTATCAAATAAGTTGGCCTATGAAAAACGGTGTTGACCTTTTCAGAAAAGTTCTGGTCCGGGTTTATGGCGAAGGAGTTGAAGTGTTTTTTAACCGGGAGGATGAAGTTCGGACGTTTGAGTGCATGTCCAAGCACGGCCAGGGGCCGCGCCTCCTTGGACGATTTGCAGAGGGACGGGTTGAGGAGTTCATTCATGCTAGAGTATGTGAACTGCTATGTTTACCATTTCATGTTATCTTCTATTTTTTAGTACGAGTTAGTTTAACCAAGTCTTCAGCTAATGATGTCTTTCGAATACTTTCACTAATCCACTATAATTGTCACTACTTTTCTTTATTCCTCTCTCTCTCTGCTCCTCTCTTTCCCTCCCCACCCCACCACACTCATCGTAGTTTAATGGTTCAATTTGCACCTTAGGACTAAATTGAATGATGCAGACAGCAAACAGGGACAGGCGGTACGGTCACTGTAATCTTGATCATTCCTTTAAGTGGTACTTCAGCTTTTTTTTTTTTTTGTATGATAAGGGTATCTGATTTCTTAATTGTTGTGAAAGGAAGAAGCCGTTAGTCACTTAATAAATCACTTTCGATGAGTCGATTTTTGATAAGACTGATAAGACTAGAAAAGCTTAAACTCGTTACGCCAGGAAATATAGACTGTTGAAACCCTTACTTGTAGGCCTATTTTACAGAATTATACTTACTGAAACGCATTTTGGATACAACTGAACTGCGATTTGCAGAATCTTATAGTTAATCCAAAAATTAAAACAAGAGGCAATCGATCTTTTAGCTATCGAGATAGATGATGAATATGTAATAGACCCTCTCCATTTTCACCTTCCAATTACTGTGTCAGCTGGACAGCTTATGCATCATCTAATTTGAATTGATTTCGGTGATCTTATATTTTCTCAACATAAAATATAAGTCGTCTAAAGGGACTGTCTTATTTGTTTTGGAATTTGATCCACATCATACCAAAAACAAACAAAGGGACGTTTGAGCTTCAGTGAAATCTCTTCAAATAGCCTGTTGCAGAGGATATTTTTAGCATCTCCATAACCTATTTGTCTTTTGAATTCCCAGACGCTATCAGCTGCTGACCTTCGTGATCCTGAAATATCTGCAATTATAGCAGCTAAGCTGAGAGAGTTCCACAATTTGGATATGCCTGGTCCGAGAAATGTAGTCCTTTGGGATAGAATGAGGTAATTTTATATTTTGAAAGCTAAAGTTTCCCTTTTGAGGATTCATGATTTTTTTATGTAATTTACCTATTTTCCCCAGGAACTGGCTCAATGAGGCGAAAAACTTGTGTTCGATAAAAGACATACAGAAATTCGGCTTGGACACTTTGGAAGAGGAAATTAGTATGTTAGAGAAGGAACTGTCACAGGACTATCAAGAAATTGGGTTCTGTCACAATGACCTGCAATACGGTAACATAATGATGGACGAAGAGACCAGATTAATCACTATAATTGTGAGTTCCTTACTCGATTTCAATGAAACTGTTTCATTATCCTTAACTGTTTCTGTGATTTTAAAAGTATTGCACTTTCTTTACCACTTTTCTTTCCTTCCACCTGATTCCACTTGTAATCTATGATTGTTACTGAAATCGAACACCTTAGTTCGTACAACCTGAATTCTCGTTTTCACATGGACACTAACATAGGGTTTTTTTAGTAACTTAAAATAGTGTCAACTTCTTGAGTAGTAGAAAACATTGTCCGAATCTTTTTATAACAATACATCCATCATTTTTCGATTTGAATCATGATGTCGATGTGTATACTTATTGATCGACAGTTCTAGGTAGTACTTTTGCCAAATGTAACCTGTGAAGCAATCGCTGAGAGTAATATTCTTGGCATGTCTTGCTTGCATGTAAACGTTAATGAAAATTGTCTAGCCTCATGTTCAAATTGTATTCACCAAGCATGATTCAAGTTATCCGTAGTTGGATTTCCGTTATGTTCTTGCTAAAGAATGGATATGTAAACCAACGTTTATAAACCTGTTTTGCAAATTGCAATACAAGTTCTAATATGATTTTGTTATGTTTTCAGGATTATGAATATGCCAGTTACAATCCTGTCGCATACGACCTTGCAAATCATTTCTGTGAAATGGTTGCGAACTACCACTCTGACACACCTCACGTTTTGGACTACAGGAACTATCCAGGTAACTGTTAATCTGTTAGTGATTCGTTCTTCATTGCACTTTCTCCTAGTATAACCTTGAGCATTCAATCAAGCTGCAAACATGGAATTAATCATTTGTAGTTTTATTTCGTTACAAATAAATAATTTGGTTTTCTCCACTGCGTTGCATCAGGTCTGGAGGAGCGCCAGAAATTTGTCCGTGCATATCTCAGCTCTGCAGGTTAGTCTATTGATTTTGCGAATGATTTGAAAGCTTTGGTGATTCTCAACAAACTTCATCTCCAATATTCCATATAGATTACGAACCCAGTGATGCTGAGGTGGAGCAGCTAGTTGAAATAACAGAGAAGTACACTTTGGCTAACCATCTCTTTTGGGGCTTATGGGGAATAATTTCGGTAATATTTTCTTCTTTTTATTACACTCTTATTCGCAATAGCTTGCGTGTGTATATGTGTTCGAGTGACTGCGTCTTCGTGTGTATAACGTAAGATACGTTCGCTGCTGGTTTGCAGGGTTATGTGAACAAAATTGATTTTGACTACGTTGAGTATGCAAGGCAGAGGTTTCAGCAGTATTGGTTGAGAAAGCCTGCGTTGTTGGGTTCTTGAGGCGAGTCCCTGTAATAACACGAACAAGGCCTTTATACTCGTTCGTAATTAGTGATGTTGCTTCATAAATTTTATTGAAAATGTGAAATAATTGTACAAATAAAGACGTGTGAGAGATTTGTACCAAAAAAAAGAAAAAGAAAAGAAAAAGATATGTGTGAGATATAAATATGAAATGTAGTTGTCAATGGCATTGACGGCTGATAATAATACTCAAAGGGATGATGCTCGTAAATATGTTTAGTTTCTTCTTTGTTTTGTTAATGTCTTGCACAAGTGCTTATTAGCTAAGAGTTGTTGAGTACCCTTGCGAAATTTATTGTGTATAGTTAGGGGGTGTTTTACGCCCAATTCATTCCGTCGCCTCTTCTCAACCCTTTTCGAACTGAGAGGAAACTAAACATACGAAGATGGACTCTCATGTAGTATGCGTTCTAGTTAAACTTTATATGCGAGCCAATCAACTCCGAAAGTATAAAAAAGTTGAGGTTCCAGCTCAAAATCCTTTTGCAATGGAGTGGCTTACACATCATGTGTTTATATTATCCATACACCCGATAAATTTGATCTAACACATTGGAATGAATAGGTGCTTTAATTATTAGGGTAGTGTTATCCACACGCTAATTTCTACTTCTCACACATCTCTTTCAATTATCGACCGTTGGATCAAATGATTTGAAGAAGATCAAACGAGATAAAAATAGGTGTGTAAATAACATTATTTGATTGTCACTCGGTACTACGGTATGGTGGTATTCTTCTTCGCTTAAAAGTGAGAAGTCTTATGTTCGAATATCTTGGATGACGAATTCGATATCAAATTAGGCTACCTATTGTATGGCTTAGCCGAACTTCCCATTCTCTTAGTGTAAAAATATCAATGTACTAAAAAATAACACTATCCGATTATTATTGCCAAGTGTCCCGTAGATCAGTAGTACCCTTAAACGGTTAACCCGAATACGGATCCGTTTATTAATTAATGAGGAATTTGTAATTTGAATACAAACCAGTCATTGAAGATACACATGTATAAATATCCGGAAAAGGATCCAGCGATCCGAGAGATCTTGTAATTATGTCCGTTCATAAATCATTTAAAATTTAAAATTAAAATTAAATATAAATAATACTTAACGAAAATTGACTGGACGATATACGATAAACGAATATGATTACAATATCCCCCGAATCCCCATGGTAGGATCCTTTTCCTAATTATCCAACTTTACTGTACAACATATACTCTCTACGACTCAACTCAACTCAACTCAGCTCAACTCGACCCGACTCAACTCGATTAAATATGCTCTCAGACGAATGCGCAAAATCCCTTACAATATTTACATCTAACTGCAACATGCATCACTGTTGAGTGCTGACAAATTAATCTCGCCAAAGAATGAATGTTCCCCGTAAATGTAAACGTAAGAAATTTCACAAGTTTTACCAACTCGCACCGAATTTTCGCATCCATTAACGCTCCCAACCAGAAATATCCTGCATCAGGAAGCATGTTTAGGAAGTAGGAATGGAATTACAAATTATTTAAGCTATTCACTACACAAAACCGTATTACAAGACGACTTATGGGCAAGCCGCATGGACAATTGACCATTTGAGTAAACTTCGGGGCTGAAAAAAGGAGGTATTTTTACAATGTAGTAAGTACACATGACGTATTATGACTTGGGAGTTAGTGACATTAAACAAAATGATAGTTGTTGCTCAAACCATGGAAAAAAGGCCGTTGGTTCGGAACCAGGTAGGGTGAGGGGTTGACAGTAGAGTTAGAAAATCCAACAAGATATTAATCAAATCAAATGCCTAGGAAAGTACTCACCTGTTCCAATTTTAAGCAGTTCACTCCAACATCAATACCCATATCCATTACGGTGTCCTCATTTTCAATCTCGGCATCAGTGAATGTGAGGGCCCGTTGTAGCCTCCTAGGAGAAAACACCTCAACCTCAACTGCATATGTGGCAGTCACTGGCCGATGATCAGAAAGTTTAAGTTCAGCCCTTCTATAACTCAGTAACCTCATTGCTCGTCCATATGAAAGAATGCGGTCACACCTGAGAAATACAGTCACACTATGGTCAATTCTGTTCAAGGAACCGATAAAAATAGAAGAAACACCTTATATTGCAACGAACATGAAAATAATTCGGACGCTTGTTAAGACATAAATTCATAAAGAGGATATGAAACTTCACCCCCAATGTTCATGGGCAATAAACTACGTAATAATTTCACATATTTAAATAAGCTCCAGAACTATAAGAATCCGTGTGAGGCCTCACAAATACTCATATTTGTTTAGATTTGAAGAAACAAGTTATTCAACACGAAACTTACCACCCATAGGTAAAAATCTTTAGAACAAACCAGCTGAAGATCTTTTAGCTATTACCATAGCAATAAAACTAATTAGTATAATATCAAGCACCATTTACAGGGGAAATCCACAAAAGATGAAAATGTTACGCGCTGGTTATTGGAAAACCTACAAATATAAAAGATGCATAATCCATTTCTCAATCTCCATACATAATTCAAGGGTATTCAATGTACAAACATGTCTTCTGTAGTTGTAATAGATTACCGTCTTTTGGCACTGTCATCAAAGCTTATGAATGTCGAATGTCATTAAACTTCTTTAGAGATATTATTAAAGATATTATGAAACTTCTTTAATATAAATAGGACACAAATGTCGAATGTCATTTCACTCTCTTTGGTTGACAAAGAGGGTTCCTTAAATATTGTATAAATTCTAACACCTATATTACAATAACTGGATAATCATACCAAAATAAAAAATAAAAATCAAATCAGCCTTTACAAAAGAGTGGTCAACATGTATTGTGCAAAGCACTCATTGAAACAAAAAAAGCAAAAAAGTAAGTCAACAAATAAAAAACCAGAAATGGAGATGAACAAAGGCCTACCATGCTGGAGTTCGCCTCCCGGTCTTTGCATCCTCCCCACAGTACTTCTCTGAATTGATCTCATACTTGTACGTTGGTGGAAAATTTAGAACACCCTCTGACCATCCATCAAATGCACGGCCTTTTTTAAGCTGTTTTGCAAGCTGTCAAGATAAACATAAATGTGACTAGTAGCTAAGTTTGGAATCGCACTTAACTTCACTGAAAGGCTAAAGTTCGATCAATTAAGAAAAAAATTTCACTGGAGGAATCTCACAAAAATGTTCCAGTCAAGTCAATATACTTTTTAAAAGCAGAGATGCTGTACAGTTCAACACACGACTCTTTTAATGGAATGGATAAACCATCAATCATACACATTAGAGTTATATGTTTTAAGATGCTCAAATTATTGGCTTCAGAATTTCGATTTTACATTTATGAATTTGTTCCGTGTTTCTATCTTGTTACATCTTGCATCTTAAAAAAATCTACAATCCAAATACATTATCTAAAAGACCCAACTGCCTAGAATCAGTAAGCATGAATTAGCCAGCAACAAAAGCAGGCTACATAGCATCAGTAAAAATTCTTAGTAAATCAAATGAAAGTTCAAGATATTCAGGGACACATTATAAAAATAAAAATAAATCAAAACAGCAAACTGTCTTAAGAAAATTACAAAAACATACCTGGTCCTTCTCAACCAACGTGGACCACGCCTTTTGGGAGATAAGATCTCGTGTTTTCTCATATGACAAATTAAGACGATAATTTAGATCACCCAACCAAATTATTCTTCTGCAGGAAAAGGAAATATTTTTATTGTTATTTCTTCAAGAGGGGTAAATATATCCTTAAAACACTATTAAATTGAAGTAATAGTATAGTTGAAAGTTAAACTAATCTTTCACATCGGTTAAAGTAGATGTGAAGCCAAGATTTGCAACTTCCTACACCAGATTAATTTATAACTTACGTAGTTATATAATTTTTCTGGCATGAGATGGTAGGATATAGGAAAAGCTCTTGTAGACTATTACTTCAAATAATCTTACTGTTATAACTGAATAATTTTTCCAAGATAATTTGATGATTAATGAGCAATAATTTCATCCAGAAAAGATTTCAATTTAGAAGAGAAATAAAGAAAAAAATATGAGCATACATTATCTCCAAAGAAAGCATATTGTAGTTTAGCTGCAATGTACTTACTCATGGTCATAGATAGTCTTGGGAAGCCCAATACTGGAAAACGTACGAAAGTGAGTTCTCCGATGTATTTCCCGCACATCAGCATTTCTTTTTATTTCATCTGCCTCTTTCTCACCTGCTGTCAGGTGAGTGCACACAAAACAAAAAAGCGTCTGATACACAGACATGCTGACAGATATAGATCCCTGAAAAAATTGAATAACTGTCTAAGAATCAAATAAATGACAAGAAAATTAATCTGACAATTGTTAACATTACTTCATAAGGGCACTTTCTAATGTAGAATACGAAGGCATGAAACATGAAGAAACATGACCTAGCATTGGATTATTTCCAGAATATGTACTACTTTATCCGTATTTGAGCAAAATCAGCAAGCAGGTGTGTGATGAAAAACGTTTATGCCATAGCCATAGAACAAGGATGGTCAAGATAATCGGAGAATTCGACTAGAAGGAATATGAGGAGAGGATAAATAATTAAGGGATAAATTCTAAGACAAAGGTTGCAACAGTAGAAACTAAGGGGAGAGAGTTGTTCGAGATAGTTTTGATCACATGTAATATGAAAAAGTCTGTTAAAAAGTGTATTGCTTGAGACGGTTTTGATCACGTAATATGAACAGGTCTGTTAACAAAGTGTATTGCTTCAATGAATGAAGAAAATTTTAAAGGAAGGAAGATAGAGATGGATCATATGGAATAAAGAGATCATTAAGAACCTACAGAAATGGACCCTCCAAAAGAGCCTCAACATTCGATGGGTTGGAAATTTCAACGTGCAGGAACATGACAGGATCGTCCAGTGAAGTGGCAAAAAAGTGTTGCAGTGACACCGTAATATGGAAACATAAAAAAATTTCTTAAACCTTAGAAGTAGACCTAGTAATGATTAATCAACAGAAAATGTACATTTGATTTCCAAATTAGATAAACGGATCCACTCTATTGCTTATCCATAATTGAACAATATAGACAGACATCAATAGCATATTAGATATTACAGGTGGAAGCAAAGTGAGGAAACTACAAAAGTGCTCTAATTTCTACCGATGGTTTGTACAAGTTATCAGCTATGTGAATGAATACGTCATAAGATCTGTCACAGAATTATGTTAGCAGAAATAAAGAAAACAACTGTGAGACTATCAAATAGTTATTGACAAAGACAAGAAGCATATGTTAACGTTTGTCACCAGTTACAATGCTCATAGTGATGAAAAAAGAATTTAGAAAAATGGAGATAGGAATTTGTAGAAAAGAAACAAACCTTGTTACCAATGTATCCCATAACACCAACACCAACAGTAGACACCTTAACGTTCTGAATATGTTTACGCAACCTCCTACGAACCCATACAGTTAGGAAAACCCCGACCATCTGCTTGCTTACAATCCTTACATAGGATGATCTTCTTTTTCGTTTCATGAGAGATTCAAGATCAACCTCTGCAAGCAATGCTATTTCTGATGGCACATCATTAACAGTTGACTTGAAAGAATTGTACGTTTTCAAAGATTTTGGGGATTTGAAAGACTTCATTGTTCGAAAGGAATTCCGTCTTTCTAGTAAGTGCTGAGATAGCAAGTTTAATGGAGGCTCCGGCCAGCTCAAACCAATCCTTTCAGATCCACTAAGCATTCTGGTTAACTTGCCATTAAATTGGACACCAGAAGTTGCTTCATCATCTAATGAACAATCATCTGTCCGAAGGCTATATAACCTATTCAATCTCTTTGCAGGATAACTTTGCCTCAGTAAATCCTGTCCGGTTGGCATGCCTGGTTTGCTATTATCAGTAAATTCTTGAACTTGAGAACCAATATTCACTATTTCATTTGTGACTGATATACCCTTGCTGTCACCAGAATTTATGGTTTCGTCATCCAATGGATGGACTTCTTCACCAATATCACTATCACTTTCAAGTAGGATCTCCTCTTCTATATCAGGGATGTCATCAGCTGGCTTAAACTTTGATGGAGATGGAGGATCACTGAAGGATTTAACCTTGCTCATCGCAGGTCGAACTCTATCCAGTGTTTCACGAATAATGTTTTCCCACTTAGTAATTGGGCGGCTATCTTCGGCACCAAAGATATTCCCAGCATTTAATGGTACAATCTCCTGAAGACTGAAAACAAAAAACAAAAAAGTTCACACTTCTAAGATTTACTCTTGACCATGAACAATAGATTCAGATAATCAAAGTGGTAGAGGGTATTAAAAAGGACAGAATTTTGATCTTACACCAAAAACTAATAGCAGACACAAATATGACAGATACGGAATCCAGTACAAGTGATGCAACTCTATTTTGACAGCACTTGTTTATCTATAACTATCGTATTTTCAGTAGCAGTATCATTCACATGATAAACAGATTATGACAGAAACAGCAAAGATCCCTAAATGCAAAATCAGTGAATCAAGGAAAATATGGAAGGAGAAACGCTTACCCAATCACATAGAAATCAGCTGGCTCATTGACATCTAACCAACAATCAATGTCCAGGTCATCGGGTGGAATTTGTCCTCCAACATTCCATGTTGTAGCAAATACTCTGGAAACACCAAAAGTAAGAAAGATCAGAAGTTAAAGGGAAGGCCTGATAAACCACGCAGTGATTGTAGTGAATTATACTTTAACGTCACAAAAAACAATGGGAATCAACCTGAATTCCTTTGTGTTTATATACTGTGTCCTAAAAGTCTCTGACATTCGTCTTCGTGCCCTTGGAAGATCGTCTGCATAACCAAAAAACAAGAAGCAAAATACAATCATGAAAATAATTAGCGAAAAGCAGTATACTGGAACTGGGATATCCCGTAGCACAAAGTAAAATAATATAAGGCACAGGAGACTCAAATCAGAAGTTAGAACACTGGAAATGCATATGACCTTTGAGACTGAACAATGCTACAAAAGATCCAAGGGACATTGATAAAACATCAGAATCAAATTATTCACTACCAATTTCATTGCAAACCTTTAAGCTTAGTACAAAATAGTGAAATCCTTTTTAGCTCAAACAGATTGCAGAGAACCGTGTTTTCAGTCATCAGTAATCATCAAAAGTCAAAAAGAAAGCATAAAACTCGAGGACGGTAAAAAAATTGATACTTAAAAAGAAAGCATAAGGCATAATATTACCAATAGCATCATCACTCTCAGTCTCATCTTCTTTGATATCTTTAAACCTCGAATCTCTTCCCCGTTGATAAAACTCTGCAAAACCCATTTTACAGTCAGCCTAAAACCCCAAAAGGGTATTCTAAAAACACAAAATTGAGCTCAAATTCCACAGAGATACAGTAAAATTCCCATAATATTCAAACAAAAAAATAACCCATTTTCCAGATTCCAATTTAAACACAAACGCATCATCAGAAAACATAAAAATTGTCTGTACTGGGTTGAAAGAGAAGAAGAAGAAGAAAGGACAGTCACCTTGGGTGTCGGAGTCGGCGTCACAGTCGTCTTCGTCCTCCGTGTCGGCGCTGTAATCGGAATCTTTGGCGGGGATGTTGAGCCACTTGCGCATGACGACTCTTGGCCAGAAGAGCTGTATGCAGGACCAATAATCCAAACAACACATGATTTCAGCCCAACTCCTCTGCACATTTCTCTCATTTTTTCCCATAATTAACACCCAACTTAAACGAAATGAAAAACACATGTCCCCTCCTACCCTATCCATATAATTATATATATATATATTATATAATATGTGTATGTGTGTTTGTACACAGAGAGAGAGAGAGAGAGAGAGAGAGAGAGTACCTGCCGTGGGTTCTTGGAGCTGGGCTTCATCTGAGAATGTGAATGCATGGTCGGAGAAGATAAGAATTAACAACAACAAGAAGAAGAATGAAGTATTCAGGCTTGGAGGAATAAAAAATTGCTTAAAATTGTGAAAACAGAAGAGATGATCGTAAATGAAGAACAAAGACTAAAGCAGCGCCACAACAGTGGGAAAAATATACACTTCGGAGGTTGGACTCGTAAATTTCCATGATTTGACTTTCAAGTTTTTATACATGAAAGACAGAACTACCAAGCACTATTGCCTGGCCCTGCATGTGCCAACCATCTTTTTTTAAAGCATGCATTAATGTTAATGGGATTAAAATGTACAAGTAGTCTTGTGGCTCTATCTTGTAACTTGTAAGTGTAACCAAACCAATATAATTACATGCGTACAACATAGTTACCACTTAATACTATAGTTTAGTGATATATTTTTTAAGTTATAAACAAGATAAATTAGATTCGATGTCTCTAATTAACCTATTTAGCTACTAATTGTGTTCTTAGCCACCTCATTTTGCGTCACTAATGTCACGTGATGTTATTTTGTGGAGTGAAACCAAAACAGACTCTAACAAGAACACAGGACAAAGTAGGAGAGAGAGAGAGAGAGAGAGAGAGAGAGAGAGAGAGAGAGAGAGAGAGAGAGCAAATGGTATAAAAGACCCATCACATTGGTTTCCAACCAAAATCCAAAATCCAAAATCCAATCCAATCCATTGGTTTCCTTCTGGCCTCTCCATTTGTTCCTGTCCATTGGTTTCATTTTGGTCCCTTTTAGTTGAATTGACTATTAACATTTGAGCTTCTAGACTAAGAGAACAGAGCCTATGTTTCCAAAAAAGAAAAAAAAAATAAAAAAGGAAAAGAGAAGAGACCCTACGCATCTACACAAATTGAAAGATAATAATTTTCTCCATTTGTTCCTGTCCATTGGTTTCATTTTGGTCCCTTTTAGTTGAATTGACTAATAACATTTGAGCTTCTAGACTAAGAGAAGAGACCCTACCCATCTACATAAATTGAAAGATAATAATATAGAAAAGAAAATAATTTTTGCACGCTTCTTGTTTTTTTTTTTTTTTTTTTTTTTTAGGGGTGCATATCTTTATTTAATTTTGTTCTTTTATATTTTTTCTAATTTATCAATCTATTAATAATTGTCTTGTGTTGACCAATTAAGTAGTGCGGTGCCACCAAACCAAATGATGGCATTCGCAGCACAATAGCGCATGCCGCCGGCGGACCTAGTCCTTGTGGCTTACATAACCAAATTAATGAAATGATAAGATTTCTGTAGATGGATTTTCAAGTGTATCCAGCAATGTAGAAGAAATATAAAATATTCTGCCAAATCACTTTGCAAAAGTCATTATTTGTATATAAATTTGAGGAGTCGTTGAGAAAACAGATCGCAATTTTCTTTTCGATACTTTGTTATGTTATGCAATGTACCATGTATGGTAGACTATTCTGGTGGCCAGGTCAACCGTCAATCTTTAACCCGAATTCCACAATGAAACGATGAAGAAGGCAAAGAAATATTTTCTTATTAATGATTACCAATAAAGTTTTTCTTGTGCCGTTTTTTCTACACATTAAATTTATTTAAAGTTAGGATGATTCGATGATTCGTGTGTTGATTCAAAAAGCGCTTGCACAAAATCTTCATTGTTCAAATTTCTCCTATGTTTTGCCGTAAAGAGAATGAGGTAGCAACCGATTGTCTACTTTTGGGTTGTACACTTTGCCAACGAGGTATGGTTTGAGAAACCTCTTGACTTTATTTAGGGGTGGTTTTGATTCGAAACTTGTCGCGAAAATGGATTTTTGAAATAGTCATAGATTTTTTTGGCCCAATTTTGAACTAAAAATTTTGAGATCCCGAAAAATATTGGAACTTATTTTGGTTTCTAGTTGGTTCGGTAAAGTGCGTTGGTGGCGATGACTGATATTTGGTGACAACAGTGATTGATTTGTAGTTGTGGTGGCGATGACTGAAATTTGGTGGTGGCAATGATTGATTTGTAGTTATGGTGGTGAGAGGAGGGATGGAAGGAGGACTTTGCTGAACTGAGAGAGAAAGGGGGGAAAGGGGGAGAGAGAGAGAGAGGGAGAGAGAGAGAGAGGGAGAGAGAGAGAAAGAGAGAAAGAGAGGATCTGCATAATTGAGAGGGTTTATATTAAAATGATGATGAGAGGCTGAGCAGATCCTGGTGCTGTGGTGGCTTATAATGCGACATAGAGATGGAGATGAAGGGTGAAGATATAGGTCGTGAGGTCGTCGTGGTGGTTTGCTGGATGGTGGGGATGAAGATAAAGGGTAGAGATGGAGACAGATGAAAAGAGACTCGATCTACAATTGTGGTGGCTTGTAGGTCGTCGTACGAGAGAGAGAGAGAGATGGTGGACATGGAGCTCATGGGCTGTGTGGTGGCTTGGTGGATGGCGAAGATGAAGATGGATGGCAGAGATGGAGAAAGATGGAGAAGAGACTTGATTTACGATTGAAATGAATGAAATGAAGTGAATGTTGGCTAGGGTTTTTAAGGGTATGCTAAGTTGAATAATTAATAGTTATTAGATAACATATAAGGGCGTGTTTAACTGGACTAGCTTAGCCAGGATTACTAGTCCGTGTTTGGTGCGAGCATGGACTAAGTTTAATGGGACTAAGTCGGACTCGTGTGGACTAAAGGCCTCACTAAGGCCATCTCCAACCGAAGGAGGGCTAGAAGGCTCCCTTTAGCCCTATAGCCCTCCAAGAAATTAATATTTTAATGAACAGTGTCAAGCCATATTTCTTACCATTTCCAACCGAGGGGGCCAAATGGCCATAGGCCAAACATAGCCTTGTGACAAAAAAACTGAGGGGGCCAAAGGGCCATAGGCCAAACATAATTTATTATTTTAATTGAATTAATATGGTTACTTAAATTAAATTACCTCAATAATTTTTCAAGATGTAATCTCAATAATTTTTCGAATAGGATTTCGAGTGACACATGTCGCGAAAGTGAGTAACTCTCTAGATTTCTTGTTGATATGTAATCTTAATAATTTTTCGGATAGGATTTCAAGTGCCACATGTCGAGATGTAATTGGTTGTGCGAATTTTAGATAGGATTTTTATCTTCATAGCACTTCTTATCTTCAACTTCCATTGTCCATAAATAGGATGGATATTAGGCTATAATTCACACACATTCATCTTTGCCTCTCTAATATCTCTTTCAATTCAATTTTGTAATGAATTTCAACTTTGGATCCTCTTCACATTCCAACTGGGGGTCCTCATCCAATTCCGAATTGGAAGATAAATAGGGGTAGATGAGACAAGAAGATGAGGAGTCCAATGAAGAAGATAAAGCATGGCGCAACACAACATATATGGTAGAAATGGCTGGGGTCATGGAGTGTGAGCCAACTGAAGAACAACCTCAATGAGCTGGCTTTATTGCTGGTTGCTCTTACAAACCACGAAATAGAGTGATGGTGCATAAGACTCTGATGACCAACTACTTCAACCCTAACTTGGTGTACACAAAAGAGGATTTCAGATGTTGATTCCGAATGAGGTGTCATGTTTTCGAGCGTTTACTTCATGATGTGCAACATGTCAATCTATACTTTCGACAAAAGCTAGATAGAGCAGGCTACCCTGGTTTCTCACCTCATCAAAAGGTTACTATTGCACTCCGAATGATGGCCTATGCTTCCCCAGCTGATGTGATGGATGATACATATAGTATGTATGACTCTACATACCTTGACAATCTTACTAAATTCTGTCACATAGTTGTTTAGATTTACAAAAAGTAGTACCTTTGTGAACCAAATCAAGCAGATCTAGATCGACTCATTCGCAAAGTTGAATACCATAGCTTTCCAGGCATGATAGGGTCATTAGATTGCATGCATTGGCAGTGGAAGAACTGTCCCACTGGATGGCAATGAGGCTTCAACGAAAGATCGAGAAAGCCAACTATTGTGTTATAGGCAGTTGCCTTGTTTGACACATGGATCTAGCATGCTTTCTTTGGAGTCCCAAGATCCCAAAATGACATTATAGTACTTGGACGTTCACCCCTCTTCAATAGCCTGATGGGGGGTAAATCATGTTAGCTTGACTACTACATCAACGGACGTTAGTACAATATGGGGTATTATTTGGCACATGTCATCTACCCAAACTGGGCAACACTTGTCCAAACAATTGCAAACCCTATGGATGATGCTTAAATGTGGTGTTCCTTAAACCAAGAGGCATACCAGAAAGATGTTGAGAGAGCTTTTGGTATTCTACAAGCATGGTGGAAGATCATTAAGGAACCGGTAAGAGGGTGGAGTCAAGATAAATTGAACTCCATCATGATGTCGTGCATCATATTACACAACATGATTGTGGAAGATGAGCGATATGGCTATATTGATGGAGAGTCTGATGACGACCAAGATGATCCAAATAGGTCAATTAGGGTGGGCCTAATTTGCCTTTGGATCCAAAAATTGGTAATATCTCTTTAAATGAGTACATGAGGCACCATAGGCTCAGGGTCGGCCCTGAGGGTAGCCGAGGTAGGCGGTCGCCTAGGCCCCCAATTTGGGGAGGGGGGGACCCAAATTTTTTTATACATCCTATTTTTAAAATATAAACAAAGAAAATAGAAACATCACAATTATCTTGTTGGTACAGTGGAAATGGTTCCACTCCGTTTTCATTGGGGTGGGTAGTTCGAAACACCTTGTAGGCATTAGTTTTTGCTTTTTTTAAATCTATGAAATTAAAGATAAATTGCTCTTTAAAATTTTTAAAATTACAAGAATCAAAAGGAGTTAAAATAATTCAACAAATATTAATTTTGAATGAATTTAAAATTTTCAACTTTAGAAAAAAAATAACAAAACCTCATGTTAGTGGGTGGTTTATGTTTAAATTCTTATTTATTTTCAAAAATATTTTAAATAAAAATTTTATAAATAGAAAAAACTTGAGTTCTTAAATAAAAAACGTACAAAGGCCAATTGTCACACGCCTACGCGTGTGACAAGAGGCTAGTGAAATTAATGGCCTCAATCTTTCCAAATGCATTTTTTTTCCTTTTCCTTTTGAAAATAGCCTAAAAAAATAACAAAAACCAGAATAATCATAACTTTGTAATCCTTTTTCTTTCAACCTCCCAGTCTTTTTATTTCTATTGAATGTTTAAGAAACTATCACTTGGTCCTAAAGATTGTAATTTGAGGTGGCCATAACTTTGAATTTAAA